CATCACCCTTAGGCTCCTACCTCCTGCATCCAACTAGTTATCGCTCCTTGTATTCCATGTGATCTAACTTTGTTAGCCAGTCTACCATGCGGAACCTCATTGAACACCTTGCTGCAGTCTATACAATGTCCACTGCTCTGCCTTCTTCAAGTAAGGAAAAAAAACTCAAGTTAGTGAGACATGACTTCCTACACACAAAGCCACCATCAGTCCCTGCCTTTCCAAATACGTAAAAATTCTGTCCCTCTGAATCCCCTCCAACAGCTTACCCACCACTGACATTAGGCTCACCAGTCTACAGTTCCCTGGCTTTTCCTTACCACCTTACTTAACTGGCACCCTGTTAGCCACCCAGCAGTCTTCCAGCCATCTTCCAGCCTCTCACCTGTGGCAATGATGCAAATATTTCAGCAAAGTGCCCAGAAATCATTTCCCTAGTTTCCCACAAAATTCTGGGGTACACCTGATCAAGTTCTGGAGATTTATACACTTATGTATTTTAAGACGTCCAGCACCACCACTTCCTCTGTAATATGGATATTTTTTCCAAGATATCACTATTTACTTCTCCAAGTTCACTAGATTCCATATCCTTCCCCACAGTAAGCACTGACGCAAAAAAAAACATTTGTTTATTATTTCGCCCATCTCCTGCTGTTCCACACAAAGGCAGTCTTGTTCACCTTTAAAGGAGCCCTATTCTCTCCCTAGTTACCCTTTTGTCCTTAATGTATTTGTAGAATCTTGTGACCTTGACAAAAACAGGACTAAACAATCTCAACCAGTGGATCTGATCAGCGCACTGCTGTCCTGCTATATCCAGTCCTGAATAGTAGTAGACAGTTAAGAACAACTAATCAGGAGGCAAAGGCTCCAAAAACATTCCTATCAAAAGAGGAGCAGCCAACCAAGTCAGTACAAAGGACATTGCTGAAGTGTTTACATCCATCTTAGTCAGAAAATGCCCAAAAGATAATCCATTTCACCCTGAGATCCCCAGGATCACAGGTGCTGGCCTTCAACTAATTTGATTTACTCCATATGATATCAAGAAATGGGAGAAGACACTGGATAACGCAAAGGTTGTGGGCTGCGACATTTTGGTAATAATACTAAAAAAAACTTGTGCTCCAAAACCGGCAGCACTATTCACCAAGTTCTTCCAATATAGGTACAACACAGGCACCTACCTAACAATGAAAAATTGCCAATGTGTCTTGTCTCTCTTTTTGTGGACAAGCCAAACCAGTCAAGTACCACCCTATAATGTGGAGCCTGCAGAAGTACTGTATTTGGGTTTCCAGAAGGCATTTGATATGATGCAACCTAAAAAAGTTACTGCAAAAGAAAACGTATGGATAGAAAATTGGCTGGCTGAGAGATAACAGAAAAAACATAAAAGGTTTGTTGTTTGATTGGCAGGATCTGATGAGCAGGTTGTGCAGGGCTTTGTGCCAAGATCTGAATGGTTTACAATTTATCAATAACTTACATTAGGGAGCCAATGCATGTTAGCTAAATTTACAGATGACACAAAGATAGGTGAGAAAGTTGGCTGTGAACATGATGTAACAAGGTTGCAGACACATCCTGAAAGGTCAAGAGAGATGATGAAAAATCTGGCAATGTGGGAAAATGTGAAGTTGTTTGCTTTGGTAACAATAGCAGGTAATTACTTAAATGGTGAACAGTTGCAAAATTTCAAGGTAGAGGGATCTGGATGCTGTAGTGCACGAGTCACAAAAATTAGTAGGCTTGTGCAGGAAGTCATTAAGAAGGCTTATGAATGTTATATTTTATAATGAGAGGAATTAAATATAAAAATTAAGGATGGTATGCAAGAAATTGGTGAGACTGCACCTCAAGTACTGTGTGCAGTTTTAAATGCAAATACCTAGGTGATTCAGAGGAGTTTACCGGCTTAATACCAGGAATGAGCAGGTTGTTTAAATAGGAAAGATTGAACTGACAGGTATTTTTTCCCCCAAAAAGGATCTCCAAAGAATGATAGGTGGCTTGTTTTGAAATATAAAAGATCCTGGAAGGTCCTGACAAGGTGGACTAAAATCTAGGAGGCACTGTTTAAAAATCAAGGTTCACCATGATTTTTAGGATTAGAAGCTTTTTCTCACCTCTTATAACATCACAGAATTCTATCACAGAAATCCCTACAGTGTGGAAACAGGCCCTTCGGCCCAACAACTCCACACGGATCCATCCCCCTATAACCCACCTAATCTACACATCCCTGGGCACTATGGGCAATTTAGCATGGCCAATCCACCTAGCCTGCACATCTTTGGGCTGTGGGAGAAAACCGGAGCACCCGGAGGAAACCCACGCAGATATGGGGAGAACGTGCAAACTCCACACAGTTGCCCGAGGGTGGAATCAAACCCAGGTTCTTGGCGATGTGAGGCAGCGGCGCTAACCACTGAGCCACTGCGCCACCCCAAGTGATATAATTTGGGAATTCTCTACATCAGTGGCCAGTGCAGAACAGTCATTGAATATTTGAGATAAATAGGTTCTTGTTATTAGGCAAAGCAACAAAAGGTTATCAGGGTAGATGGGAATATGGAATTCAAAACACTAACATATCAGCCACAATCCTATTAAATAGTGGGGCAGACTCAAGGTGTTGAGGAGCCTACTTATATTCCTAATATGTCTGTATGCTGATTTGGATCTATATTGCCGTTCCTTCACAATTGCTATGTCAAATTGCAAGGACTGGAACGGTTTAAGAAGGCAGCTCACCACTACCTTCTCCAGGGCAGTTAAGAATGGACAATAAATGCCAGCCTAGCTAGCAACACCCACATCTCATTAACAAACAAGAAAGTTAACAATAGCAAGAGGATGAACAACTAGTGGTGTTGCAGGTGGCACTACATATGCTGTACTCCAAAAAACCTAGCAGGATACAATATTGTACCAAGTTTCATGGATATAACGTAAACAATGTTGCATAAAGCAATGCACTTGTATTAAAAGATCATGATGCTGATGTGAACACAGATAGTTCTGCTGTAATGCATGTTTCATTAGTGTAAATTGGCTAGTAACACAATTGCTGAATAGTGGACACTGTTTGAATAACGCAAACTTTCTGTTGTATAGGTATAGCAGTTTCCCTATAATGTGATTTTCCATGGCAATTTTCTACAGCGCAAGGTCACACAAGATTGTAAGTATTGCATTATAACAGAACTACTTGTACATGATTAAGAACCACCCTTTGAGATAAATAACTATATTGAAAACATTAATTGTTGATCACTTACATATGAGTATCACGATGTGATTGCAGTATTCCAGATTGGTTTCAAGATATAGAGGTTGCAACTTAAGTTGATAATTTATGCAATGTGCATAGTTTGCTAATTGACATTTACATTTTGTATCTTGAACGCTTCCCTTGATTTTAAATAGAATGTTAGGCATTTCTTCTTTTCCCAGAATAAGTGAAGCCTATAAAATGCATTGTCAGCAACTGACCAAGTGTTGTCTGTACACTTGTTTGTGGGAGCTGGGCAGTTTTGGGACTTTTTGGAAAAGGTAATAAATAGCTTTAAAGATAATACATGGTTGACATGACCTCTGGCCTGACCTTGTTCACATCTTTTTTATAGATGAACAAAAACCTTCCAGAGTATCTTTTCCTATTGAGTCTAGGACTTAAATTGTGCATTGGCCTCTCCCAGAAGTTATAAATAGGCTGTAAGGGGCATAGGAAACATCCAATCAGAATGCTTCAACAAGATCATGTGGGGCTGTTGACAGTTGGATTGTCAACTTGTACGTCCATGGGCTCAATTTCATGAATTCCAATACTGTACTAAGATAAAATTCAAAATGCTCAAAATACAAAGTTTTATTTATCAACACTACTTGCCAAACCAAACATAAGCTAACAAAACAAAACCTGTTGATGTAACCTGGCTAAGGTGATTGCCAATTCAGATACATATGTTGCTAAGCCATCTAAGCACCTCTCCAAAACACCTTTTCTAAAAATCATCTCAACCAAGTTGAAGAATGACAACTATGTACCCAACCAATATTCTTTGCACTCCTCCGTAAGTAGTTTAAAATCTGAAAATGTGCTCTGATAAGCCATTCCTTATCTTAACTATAATAACACAACAGGAAATCATAATATAAACAAAAATCACTATCTTCAAGATACATCATCTCCTAGTGTTAATGCTTACATCTTGTCTATACACCTTTGAGAAAATAAATATACACTCTTTAACTCAACAAAACCTCAGCATACCAGAAAGGCAACTATCTGCCAGACATTTTAGCATTAAACCAAAATATTAAGCAGAATAAACAATATTTGTCAACATATTACATGGTCATAAAGTTCCTTTTTTCTCTAGCGAAAATCTGCACTTAGAAAAAGCAACATTTGACAATTTCAAACGTATTACTGTTTCCAGTGAAACAGACTGCGCTTACCGCATGTAAACCGCAATTCTGTTAAGAAAGCAACAAGAATCCTACAAACTAGGACCACAAAACTTCACCCATTTCGCTTCGGGCAAAGCTGCTCAAACTTTTCTTAAACTGTTGTTAAATAGCAGGGAAACAGCCTCAGAGGCTGAGTCATCCCCAGTACAAACCTAACGATGAAAGCAGCTTCACTGCCCGACCCCATGCCCGGGCATACGGCAGCCTCACACCGGGCTAATATGACTGGGAAGAGGTAAAGGGAGAAGAGGCGAGAGGAAAAAAGCGCTGCGCTCCCCTCTCCCTCTTATACGGTACTCTGTCGGCACCTTCGGCGGCCATTTGTCGTATCTGCCAGCCCGAGGCCCGAGGGCGGTGGAGGCCCAGGAAACTAAGTGAGCTGACAAATCTTAGGCCTCACCTCCCTGTCGCAGCCTCAATCCTCGGAAAGACGGGGAGGTTATGGGGACTGCGGATCCACCAACCCACAGATTTATTATGCCGAGAGTTGAGGAGGAATCTCAGCTAGATTCTCTCACCTGAGGGCTGCCACTCGGAAAGCAGCCTCACGCTTCAACTCCCCTCTCCTGTTTTTGTTTCAAGTCAACAGCGGACAAGCGCCTGTGACGTCACCGCGCCTGCGCGCGTCACCGCGGCCGTAGCCGGGCGGTCACGCGCGCTGGATTCCGTCATTCATTCATTCATTCTCCTTGCTTCATACCACCCCGTGCACCCAGAACCCGGCGAGTGCACGAGCAGCTCCTCCACAGCACCACTATGCGGGGTGGGAGGAGAGCGAACGAACGCGACGCGAGAATAACTTGTCATCAATACCCTTAACTTTGAGGTTGAGGAATGTGGGGTCATCAGAAGTACACTCCGTATCAAAACAAACTAAGCGAGATTTTGCAGCGTTTGTCAATTTGGGAAACCTCGCACAACAACAACGTGCCTATCCAGTGTCGCTGCAAGGAAGACGTTTCTTTGTTTTAAAAAATAAATGCGTTTTGACTACCTATTTTAAATAAAGAGTAAAGTATTTTGTGGATGTAAGTTTACAATCCAGGAAGAACAGGAGTAAAAGTTGCCATAGGCCTACTGGACAGTAGGGCTGTTCTGTCGTGAGAGAAAGATGATTCGTAACGGTTTAACGAGGGTCAATACACCTGGGGTGAGCAGAGCGGTGGAGAAGGAGAGTTTTTCATGATAACCTCAGCTGGCGTGGGAATTGCACAAAAACAGAAGTTCTCGAAAAGCTCAGCAGATCTAGCAGCATCTGTGAAGAAAAAAAAATCAGAGTTAACGTTTCAGGTCCAGTGACCCTTCCTCAGAGCTTAATTGGGAATTATACCTATGCCCTTGGCATCACTCACCAGCTGTCCAGCCAACAGAGCTAACCAATCCTTTATATCGTTGGAGTACAACTATGATGAATTGTATTTCTTCATTGTATCCGTTCGATCCATGTAAGTAGGAATCAGAAAACTCAGAGTGGCAACATATATATTGAATTGGAGAGACCGGAAAAAGGAACTATTTGGATACTGCAGATGCTAATCAGGATACTATTGGGTTCACAAAGTATTAATTATATTACTTCGTGGAAAAAGTGAGGAAAAGCAGTGGGTTATTTGCTGCTATCTGGAAAAGCAAACCATTTTGGCAAAGGAGATAATTCAAAGCTTTTAAAAAGAGAAAGGAAATTGCATTTTTGTCCTTAATAGCTGGATAAACAAACCTGAAGACAACAAAAACAAAGAACTGCAGATGCTGGAAATCAGAAACAAAACAGAAATTGCTGGGAAAATTCAACAGAACTGGCAGCATCTGTGGAGAGAAAGCAGAGTTAGTATTTTGGATCCAATGACCCATTTTCAGAACTGATTGTAGCTACGAAAACATTCATTTATGTGTGAAGGTGGAGGGGTAAACAATAGGTGGAAATGAAGCCCAAAGAGAGAGTAATGTTAATTCTACTTTCTCTCCATAGATGCTACCAGGTCTGCTGAATTTTCCCAGCAATATCTGTTTCTGTACCTGATGAGAAATCCTGGATTTCTGCAGCTATTGTCCAGCATCAACCTGTCAACTTTTGTTTTCTGCACTGTCAAATTTGACTGATGAAAGAATATTTTCATAAAGGAAAACATCAGGCTCTCTTTTTTTTCCTCAGCAAGTAAAGGAAAGCCTTGAAATCAAACCAGCTGAAAAAGAAATCTCAGTGAAATTATTTCTTGGAATCAGACTAAGTTCCAGGAATCAGAATCTCTGATGTCCTCAGGAGCCCTGAAAAATGTTAACTCAATCCAAAGGCCAAGGTCTAGATAACCTTCCATTCTGAAATAACCGCACAGAGGCCAGTATTCCATCACCAAGTCACCCTTTATTTACATGTGCACAGCACACAGTCAGTTCCTGAACTGAGGAGATGCTGAGTCTCTAGCTTATATTGATCAGCCAGGGCTTCCTGATTCGCCCAGGTTAACAACCCCAATCAATGATCTCAGGCAACATGATCCATCTGGTTCCAATCACTATGTCCCTCCTCACCCCCAAATCCGAAGATGTAGGCCCTGGTCTTTCTCTTGTAGCTTTTCCTGCGATGTTTTTGCCCCAGGTCCGGTTTCTCTGTCTCGGACTATGAGACAGGTGATGTGGACCAGACTGTAGCCTGAATCTTGCATCTGGAGCATCTCAGGAGAGTTTCCTCCCCCTCTTCTGGCAGCAACGGTGTCGAGGCTGCATCCATCTCGGACTCTGAGATTTCCTCGACACTAGACAGAGGGGAGAACCCACGATTTCTAACAGGCATTCTGGCTGTTCTGAGGGGCCAGATTTGTTTTGCTCCTTCCCCGTTTGTGAGGTATTAGATTTCAGGTGTGGTCAAGACTGCCTCACCTACCTGAACTTTGTAAGTCATGGGACCTGACCTCGCATCAACCTCGCCTCGTACCCATACAGGGCCATTTCCATGGTTCCAGCACCAAAATTCACCCTAAAGTAAACTGTCTCTCTCACTTAGAGGAAGCATGTGGCCGGCATTGGCGTTTCTGCTGTTGTTTCACCCCCTCCCCCCAGGTCTGGGAACTCTGCTGGCGCTATCCCTGTAGTTACGTGAAAGGTGTTCCAATAATCGAACAGAAACCAGGACAGTTTGGTATCAATAACCCTGTAGACTGTTTCTTTAAGCCTACCTTCAACATTTGGACCACCCATTTCACCAAACCATTGGATAATGGGTGGTATGGAGCTGTCCTTATGTGCTGAATGCCATTCAACTTTAGGGAATATTTGAAATCCCTGTTGGCAAATGACGTCTCATTGTCCATGACCAATGCTTCCAGCAGTCTGTGTATCGCAAACGATGCTCAGAGCTTTTCAACTGTCATCCCTCAGTTTGCCACGTGAACTCTATGCATGTCCAAACACTTTGAATGTGCATCCACTATGGCCAGGAACATTGAGCCCATGAAAGGACCGTCATAATAGACATGTAACCAAGTCCAGAGTTTACCTGGCCATTTCCACAAACGTAGTGGCACCGCCGGTGGCAATTCTTGTCCTCACTGGCACCCTGGACACTGTGCAACCAACACAGCTATGTCAGATCCAACCCTGGCCAGCAGATATAGCTACTTGATAGCATCTTCATCTTGGACACCCCTGCATGATCCTGGTGGAGTTCAGCCAGTATCTGGCAGTGACCTTCACTCAGGGCAATCTCTCTACTTCACCATAGTAATATGCCTTCATCTACGTTGATCTGGTCTCATTGGGTCCAGAAAGACTCAGTCCTGGTTGTGATAGCCCTTCTGTTTCCCTCATTCTCACCAGCTGTTTTAGTTTTTCCAGGGCAAGGTCTTTTTGTGTCCATGGTCAGATATTGTCAGCAGTGACTGGAAGAGTGTCCAGGAAGTTTAAAACCAGAATGAACTCTTCCAGGGGAAGTACCACCAGTAGAATACCTGCCAGTGGGAGACAGCTCATTAGCAACTTGGCTTTCTAAACGGTGCTCCAACTTGTGCATTTTCTAATGATAAAGCCAATTGTAATGCCTGTTCAAAGTCCAGTTGGGCTTCAGCTAATAGGTGCTTTTGCATGATTATATCATTAATCCCACATGCCAAATGATCCCTCATCATCTCATTCAGGGTTAACCCAAAATCACATGCCTCTGATAGTCATCTCAATCTTGTCAAAAACTTTGATGCAGATTCCCCTGGTTCTTGAACAGCTGAATAAAACCAGTAGCATCTCAGAATTAAATGTGGTTTGGGGTCATAATAATCCTTAACAAAATCCGTCAACTCTTGGAAGGTTTTTGTGTTTGGTGCCTCTGGGAAAGTTAAGGCCCTTATCTCCAAAGATGCTGTGGGTCACAAGCAGTCGAAAGGATTACTCATTGCTTAACAGCTGCCCAATGCCATTTGCCGAGAAAAAATATCGTATTCTTTCCACATACTAGGCCTAGCCTTTGACAGCAGAATTGAATGAGTCAAGCTTCTCAAATAAAGACATGATGCCATAAATGCTTAACCCAACTCAAAGATAACCGTTGTGAGCAAATGGTCTTCAAGCATGTACTGTTTTCCCCCATCGCCACTGAAATAACTGCATAGAGGCTGGTATCTCATCACCAAGTCACGCTTTATTTACTTGTGCACAGTATACTGGCTGTGGCTAGGCAGCTCAGAGTTGGTCCCCAAACTGAGGAGATTCTGAATCCCTTGCTAATGTTGGTCAGCCAGAGGTTCCTGATTGGCCCAGGTTAACACCCCAATCGAGGATCTCATAACCAACGTGATGCACCTGGTTCCAATCACAATACATTCATGTTGACGGTCTTCCATTTACTGCCCATCAGCAACTTCATTTCACTGACAGGAAACCAAAGGAACTTATAGAGTCATTGAGCTGTACGGCATAGAAACAGACCTATCACTCTGACTCATCCATGCTGACCAGATACCCAAAATTAATTTTGTACCATTTGCCAGCATTTGGCCCATTTCCCCCTAAACCCTTCCTATTCATATACCCATCCAGTTGCCTTTTATATGATGTAATTGTACCAGCCTCCACCACTTTCTGTGGCAGCTCATTCCATATACACACTACCCTCTGCATAGAAATGTTACTCCTTAGGCCCTTTTAAATCTTTCCCCTCTCACCTTAAACCTATGTCCCTAGTTGTGGACTCCCCTACCCTGGGAAAAAAAATCTTTGGATATTCACCCTATTCATAATCCTCATGATTTTATAAACCTCTATAAGGTTACCCCTCCAATGCAGCAGGGAAAATAGCCCCAGCCTATTCAGCCTCTCCCTATAGCTCAAACCGTCCAACCCTGGCAACATCCTTGTCAATCTTTTTTGAGCTCTTTCAAGTTTAACAACATCTTTCCTTTAACAGTATTCCAAAAGTGGCCTAATCAATGTCCTGTACAGCCACAACATGACATTCCAATTCCTATACTCAATGCACTAACCAAGAAAGACAAGTGTACAAAATGCCTTCTTCACTACCCTGTCTACCTGTCACTCCACCTTCAAGGAACCAAGAACCTGCACCCCAAGGTTTCTTTGATAACAAAGTGTAGAGCTGGATGAACACAACAGGCCAAGCAGCGTCAG